GAAAATGCTTTTCATAGTGGTTGAGGCACTTACTAATTGGCCTGATGTTACCATCATGAAAACAACATGCTTCAGACAAAACTATTGAAAAGCTGGGAGAGATCTTTATGAGACCTGGTTATCCAGAACAAACTTGTTAATGATAATTGTGCACAGTTTATATCACAAGATTTGCTCAGACAATGAAATAGTCCTTAAAACTAACTTGAGAACAAGGATCGCTACCCAAAAGACTTGTTAACAGATGGAGTACAACCTATTTGATGACTCAAAGGTTCTCCAGCATTGCTCATGGTAAAGTGTCAGTTGCACATGGCATTTGATTTCCTGAAACCGTACAGGGCAGAGACTATGTTGACCGGCATCATCAGGCTCAGTTTTTCCATGGGACCATAAGAAATAGGATCAGGAGTAGGCCATTCAGCAGTTCAAGCCTAGTCCACCATTCAATTGGACCGTGGCTGATCTGATATTCTTTACGTTCACTTTCCTACCTTTTCCACTTAACCCCGACTCCCCTACTGATCAAGTGTCTGTCTGCTCGCCATCTGTCTATCTCAGCCTTAAATATACACAAGGACTCTGCCCCCACAGTGCTCTGCGGCAAGGAGCTCCAAAAACCCGCAACTCTCAAATTAATTCCTCCTTGTCTGTCTTACGTCGGTTTGCCCCTTTATTCTGAGATTTTCCCCATTAGTCCGAGATGAGAGAGCAAGCCAAATGTCACGTTTTCCAAAAGATCATGAAGCTTTGGCAAGAAATTACACCTCTGGCAACGAGTGGGTACCAGCCATCACTGTAGAATAGACTGAACCAGAGTCCGACACCATACAATGAGAAACAACATGGAATGGAGAAGACATGCAGATCAATTGCTCGCAACCAGTACAAATATGCAACAGAAACATTAATTGAACATCTACAAATAACTGTGCCAAAAACAGCCCCAGATAACATTGGAATAGAGCATCTGAAGGAGATAGTAACCTCGTAGAGGATGCCAGGACATTGTGTGAATGGTAAGTCAATTTGTATGCAAGTTGGACTACAATACAATGCAGTATCATATCAAATAACTGTTCATAATATCTTTAAAATTAATATTAATAGGGGATCTTGTTCGTTAGTATGAGTGCTCGTCAGCCAGAGAACCCTTGAATATATTGTGAATGTTTTCATCGCAGGAACCTCTGATGTAAAGGGTGGAAAGGATGTTGTGTATTAATTCAAACATAGAGGACTGTCACTTTAAGAGTCTGATATGTGACTAATAATGACATTATTGACCATTTTGAACAGTACACAGCTTAGCCTAACCTTGCCTGTACAGTAAATATCTCCATAATAACGATCCTCCTATTAACATTTTGGCCTCCTGGTCCTTCTTTTAATTTAACAGAGGATATACCCTCTGGTCCTAGACTCTCACAAAAGGAAAAAGCCACCTCTTAAATAGCTTGTCAGGGTAGATCCTAAGAATCCTCTATGTATCAAAAGGTCTCCTCTCTTCATCTAAACTCAAGTACAAGCCCAATCTACTCCTTATAAAGAAAATCCCTCCATACCCAAAACTGAATCCATTGAACCTTCCCATTACTGCCTCCAATGCCAGTATACATTTCCTAAGATAAGGGAAACAAAATTATTTACAGAATTCCAAGCGCTGTCTGACTAATGACTTGCATAGTTTTAATAAGATCCCTGTATTTTTGTACTCCATTCTCTGTGAATTGAGACCAACAGTTCATTCATCTTCCCTATTACACAACGAATTTGGCCACTAACTTTTGTGATCAATGCACCATTAATATGATATTAACTTTTTCAATTTATTCAACCGATTTCAAATTTTGCAGTTGTCCTGGTGGGATTCAAGTCCCACAGCCCAAATCATATCCCTGGATTACTAATCTGGTAACATAGCCACTATGATGCCATACCCATAAACTATCAGAATACAGTATATGAGTAACTTAAGACATATACTTGGGAGGACAGAGGCAATTTTGAATATGATCGCCAAACTCTTTGGAGTTTTCCTTGTGCCACATTTGCTGTGGAGTAATTAGACTGGATTGATTTTTATATTTTTATAATTCGTCAACAACCTTGTTATCATGTGAATAGAATACTTGCTAATGGCCAGCATGGACACAGTGGGCTGAAGGGTCTTTTTCTGTATTTGAAAGTTATGATTCCATGGACAAAGGAGCTGAACTCCAGCGGTGAAGGTGAGAGTGACTTTCCTTGACATCAAGACAGCATTCAAGCGAGTTATGGCATCACAGAGCTCAGAGAACTGGTGTCAAGGGAACGGAGGAGAAAATTCTCCGCTGGTTGCAGTCACATAGCACAAGAAAGACAGTCAAGATTGTTGGAGGTCGGTCATCATAGCCCCAGGACATCACTGCATGAGTTTCTGAAGGCAATGTCCTAGGCCTAGCCACCTTTCCATCACAAGGTCAGAAATGGGATGTTCACTGACGATTGTGAAACATTCAACAACACCACAATTCCTCAGATACTGATATCCAGACAACACTGAAACATGGACTGATTAGTGGTGAGTAACATTCCTGTCACACAAGTGCCAGGCACTGACCAACTCCAACAAAACGGAATCTAACCATCATCCCTTGACATTCAATGGCATTACATTCACTGAAACCTGCATTAACAACATTCTGAGAGTTACCATAGACCAGAAACTGAGTTGAATTAGCCATGTAAATTCTGTGTTTATCAAGGCAAGCCAGAGGCTAGGAGTTCTGCAGCATGTAACTTATGTCCTGCTTCCGCAGTGCCCATACACCAACTACATGGCACAAGTCAGCAACGTGACGGAATATCTCAACTTATTTGGATGAATGCAGCTCCAAAAACACTCAAGAAACCATACATCATCCATGTCAAAGTAACCTGCTTGAGTAGAACCCCATCCACCACTTTCAACATTCACTCCCTTCACCATTCTAGCAGCAGTAGTGTGTACTATTTAAAAAATATAGCGCAGTAACTCAGAGATCTTCAAAACTATGTTCCAAATGCATGACCTCTGCCTATCCAGAAGGACAAAGGGCAGCTGATGCCTGGGATCACTACCACCGGCAAGTTTTCTCCATGTCACACACCACCCTGATTTGGAACTATATTACCTTTCCTTTGTCAACATTCTAGAACTCCCTAAATATTACTGTGGATGTCCCTACACCCTAGGGATGTAGTGATTCAAAAAGGTAGCACATCATTTTCTCCAGGGCAATTAGGGATGGGCAATAAATTCTGGCTACCAAATACCCATAGCCCATAAGTGAATGAAAAACATCCTTCCGAAAATGTGAACAGAATTGGATGTAATACTCTAACTGAAGCCAAATTGATGTTTTATAAAGGTTCAATATAACCTATGCCCGTGAAGTCTATCATTAGTCTCTTCATCATGCGCAATACTTCATGTTTATGCCATATGCAAATTTTGAAATTGTGACCTGCACAGCCAAATTTAGCTCACTAATATAGCTCAAGAAAAGCAGTGGTTCAAGTACTGACCCACAGGGAAACTCATTGAATGCCTTCCTCTAGACCAGAATGAAGCATTCACTAGTACCTGTAAACAATACACTGCTGTGAAAATTAGCTTAATCTGTAAAAGAGAAAGAATTTGGAGCTGAATATATGTAAATTCTGCCTTCAAAAATAAATAGCAGCCCCAGTTGGGAGTTGCAAGTACTGGTTTTCACAAATCTTTGAATGTAAAGTGGTTAATTTTTTCTAACCCCATCACCCCCATGGGTACTTGGATTATGTAACACCTATGACAACATCACGTTATCTATTGTAGTGCTAACTACTTGCAATTATGGTAAGCCTTAAACTGTGAGCAATGTTATGACCCATTCTCTTAAAGCATAAATACAATTACCTCATCTATTACTTTAATCAGAACATTAATCAATTTACAACAAACATTGAGCATTTTCGCAGAAACATTGTCCTTTCCGGCTAACAGTGTGGAGCTGGAGGATCACAGCAGGCCAGGCATCAGAGGAGCAGGAAAGTTGATGTTTTGGGTTGGGACCCTTCTTCCGAAGACCCTAAGTTCCCGCTCCTCTGTTGCTGCCTGGCCTGCTGTGCTCCTCCAGCTCCACACTCATCTCAGAGTCCAACATTAGCAGTTCTTACTATCGCCTTTCCGGGCTGCTTCTTTACAGTACTACATCAGCTAGACATGTTTCTTTCCTAGAGAACAGACAGAAAAGTTCAAAAAAAAAAACAAGGACCGATAGCTTTTGAAAATCCATCAAGCAACAATTGTTAAAATTATGAGAAGTACAATATGAAATGCAAATATTGTGACATATTAATGCACCCATAAATAGATTAGAGGAAATGATGGTTTATGTCGTACCTACAGCTGAAATTTAATCACTTTGTCCCTTTTTTTTAAAATTCCACATTTAGTTTAGTCTAACTCAGTCTGGTACATTAGTGGCACCTAACTTATTTTATGTAATAAAGTCTAGGATAAATCGATTTAAGACACAACAGAATACAACATGTTGCTTTTCAGTTAAAATCTAGTTTATTCCTGGTGCTGTCTGTGCTAGAGTTGGATGCTGTGTCCGTTGTATTTAAATCTAACTGCAACATTCTACTAGCTTTTGTCAGTGCTGTAGATAATCTTCACTGCTGAATTACAGCCCTTTATTAATTGATCCTTAAATCATTATTCCATAGAAAAGACTGAGCTTTTTACCATAGCATGCACATTCACATTAACTTTTGCTAATCATTTCAATTTGACATTGCATTAAATCAAAAGGAAAATCAAGCAGCCAATCAATGAGAAAAGAAAATAGAAGGATCATCCAATTCAGAACTTTTTTCATTTTAGGGTAACTGAGAAAGCTACCTTTCTCACTATTTGTTACTGACCTAATTGCTACTATTAATAGAGTAAGTAAACAAACATATGGAGCTACCTTCACTGTGCAACTTACCTCTATCCTTTGAACTTGCCGAGTTTCACTTCTCCCGGGTCGTGAATCACTGAGAGTTGTTTCATCAGCACCCATTCGATCAGCATCCAGCTCGAGCGCTTCTAATTTCTCTATCACAGTGGAACGCCTGCGAGATCAGATGTAAAAGCTATAAGCTCCAATTTGAAAATATTACTCCATAAATGCATCCCACAGTGTGTACCAGACATTACAAACAATAACAAAACAGCAGTTGCTGGAAAAGCTCAGGTCTGGCAGCATCTGTGAAGAAAAATCAGAGTTAATGTTTCGGAGCCAGTGAACCTTCTTCAGAACTGATTGTAGCTAGGAAATGTCAGGTTATATGTAGAAGATAGAATGGGGTGAGGGAGTAAGGAGTAAACAATAGGTGGGGTAAAGCCCAAAATCAGAGAAGAATAGGGCTGCACGGTGACACAGTAGTTAGCACAGGTGCCTCAGTGCCAGGGACACGGGTTCAATTCCACCCTCGGGTGACTGCCTGTGTGGATTTTGCACATTCTCCCCCATGTCTGCATGGGTTTCCTCCCACTGCCCAAAGATGTGCAGGCAAGGTGGATTGGCCATGCTAAATTGCCCGTGGTGTTCAGCGATGTGTCGATTTGGTGGATTATGCGGGATAGGTCTGGGTAGGATGCTCAGAGTTGGTGTGGACTTGTTGGGCCAAAACTACACTGTAGGGGATACGATGATGCTGATACTGACGAACAGTTGGACAGACAAAGGCGTTGATAACGATCTGGCTAGGAGGGTGGATAGCTGTTAATGGAGACTGTTAGTGGCTAACAATACGTACGTGTAATGGTAGGCTATGTGGCAACAAGGCCTGGTGTATGGGATAGGGGGCTAGGACATGAGAGAGTTCAAGGCCTAAAATTATTGAACTCGATATTATAGAGTCCAGAGAACTGCAGCGTCCACAAGTGTAAAACAAGGTTGTTCTTCCAGCTGGCACCAAGCTTCACTCAAACACTGCAGCAAGCCTGAGACAGATGTTGGCAAGAGAACAGGATTGTGTGTTAAAGTGGCAGGTAACTTGAAGCTCAGGGTCTGTTTTGTGGGCAGAAAGTATATGTTCTGTGAAGCAGTCACTGAGTCTACACTTTGTTTCCCCAGTGTACAGGAGACCACATTATGAGCAGTGAATGCAGTAGACTAGATTGTGTGAAGTGCAGGTAAAGTGCTACTTCACCTGGAAGTTATGTTTGCATCCTTGCATACTGGGGAAGGTGGTGTTACACCTTCGGCGGTGTGTGCGTGCGTGTGGTGTTGGGAGTGAAGGAAGAGTGGACCAGGTTGTGCCAGAATGAACAGTCCCTGTGGAAGGTGGACAAGGGAGGGGAGGGGAATGTGTCTAGTGGTGGCTGATGATCTTCTGGATGTGGTTGCTGGTGGGATAGTAGGCAAGGACAAAAGGGATCCCCTATCGCTGTTGTGGGAGGGAAAAGAAGGGGTGAGGCCAGAAGTGCGGGAGATGGGTTGGACCCAGTTGAGGGCCCGGTCGACAACGGTGCTGGGGAATCCTCGGTTGAGGAGGAAGGTGGACGTTGCAGAGGCTCCCTTGTCAAAGTTGGCCTCATCTGAACATATGTGATGGAGACGGAGGAACTGAGAGAATGGGATGGAGTCTTTACACGAAGCAGGGTGCAAGGATGTATGGTCCAGGCGGCTGTGGGACTCAGTAGGTTTATAGTGGATATCAGTGGCCAGTCTATCCCCAGAAATGGAAACAGAGATGTCGAGAAAGGGAAGGGAGGAGTGAGAGATAGATCAGGCAGACTGAGGGCAAGGTGGAAACTGGAAGCAAAATTAATGAACTTTTCCAATTCCGGATGACAGGGGCAAGCAGCACCTATGATATCATCGATATATCAGAGAAAGAGTTGTGGGTGGGGTCCGGAATAGGACTGGAACAAGGAATGTTCCACATACCCAATAAAGAGACAGACCTGAGGCCATGCAGGTACCCATGGCCACTCCTCTGACCTGATGAAAATGGGAGGAGTTAAAAGTGAAGTCGTTGAGGTGAGGACGAGCTTGGCCAAACGGAGGAGGGTAGTGGGTGGGGATGGTTCAGGCCTTTGCTCCAGAAAGAAGCAGAGAACCATGATACCATCCTGGAGGGAGGTGGACATATAATGGGATTACACGACCATTGTAGAGGTGGCGTCTACAGCCTACAAACTGGAAATTCTGAAATTGGTGTAAAGCATCAGAGGAATCACTTATGCACATGGGCAGGGACTGGACCAGGGGAGAAAAGACTGAACCAAGGTAGGAAGAGATGAGTTCTGTGGGACAGGAACAGGCTAAGCCAATGGGTCTGTTCAGGCAGTCCTGTTTGTGGATTTTTGGAAGGAGGTAGAAGCGAGCAGTGTGGGGTCGGGGGTTTATCAGCTTGGATGCAGTGAGGGGGTGATCACCGGATGAAATGAGGTCAGTTACCATGGCCTGATGTACCGTGATGGGGTCACGGTCCAGGAAGACGGGAGGAGGTATGAGAGCTGGCCAGTACGCCAGAATACAACAGCACCACAGTTATCGGCAGGCTTAATAACAAGGTCAGGGTTAGATCTAAGCATATGGAGTACAGTCAGTTCAGTGGGAGATAGGTTGAATTGGGGCGAGGGGTCAGAGAAATTGAAGCAACCAAGGTCACATTGACAGTTCTCAACTAACAGATCGAGTGAAGGTAAAAGGCCAGAGGGAGGGGTCCAGATGGAGGAAGAGTGCTGGAATTGGGCGAAGGGGTCAGAGACGGGGAGAGGACTGTTATCCAAAGAAATGGGCATGGAAGCGAAGACAGCGGAAAAAGAGATTAATGTTGCGTCATGCCCACATGGCCTACAGCTATGCCTGTCTCTTCGTGGAGTAAGTGGAAAATTCCTTGTTCTGGTCCTATTCTGACACCCACCCGCAACTCCTTCTCCGCTATAATCGATGACATCATCGCTGCTGCTTCCCCCTCTTGTCTGGAATTGGAAAAGTTCAATTTTGCTTCCAATTTCCACCATGCCCTCACTTTACTTGGTCTATCTCTAACTCCTCCCTTCCGTTCCTCGACATCTGTTTACATTTCTGGGGACAGACTGGCCATTAATATCCACTATAAACCCACTAACTCCCACAGCCACCTGGACCATACATCCTTGCATCCTGCTTCCTGCAAAGGCTCCATGCCATTCTCCCAGTTCCTCATTCTCCATCGCATACATTCAGATGAGGCCAACTTTGACACGGGAGCTTCCGAAATGTCCACCTTCTTCCTCAATCGAGGATTCCCCAGCACCATTGTCAACAGGGCCCTCAACTGGGTCAGACCCATCTCCCATAGTTCCACCCTCACCCCCTCTCTTCCCTCCCACAACAAGGACAAGGGGAACCCTATCGCTATCTACCATCCCACCAGCAACCACATCCAGAAGATCATCAGCCACCTCCAGTGAGATGCCACCACCAGACATATTCCCCTCCTTTGTCCGCCTCCCACAGGGATCGATCCCTCTGGGACACCCTGGTCCACTTTTCCTTCACTCCCAACAGTCCCTCACAGCATCTTCCCCTGCAACTGCCGAAAGTGTAACACCTGCCCATTTACTTCCTCCCTCCCCAGTATCCAAGGCCCCAAACATCTTCCGGGTGAAGGAGCATTTTACCTGTACGTTCCACAATCTAGTCAACTCCATTCACTGCTCACAACGTGGTCTCCTCTACATTGGGGAAACGAAGCATAGACTCTGATTGCTTCGCAGAACATCTATGCTCTGCTCACAAAAATGACCCGGAGCTTCCAGTTGCCTGTCACTTTAACACACCACCCTGTTTCCTGGGCAACACCTCTGTCTCAGGCTTGCTGCAGCGTTCCAGTGAAGCCCAGAGCAAGCTGGAAGAGTACCACCTTATTTTCTGCTTGGGGACCCTGCAGCCCTCCAGATTCAATATCGAGTTCAATAATTTTAGGGCCTGAATTCTCCCTTGTCCTAGGCCCCTGTCCCACGCACCAGGCCTTGTTGTCACACAGCCTGCTATTACACACTACTTATTGTTAGCTAATAACAGTCTCCATTAACAACTAATCACCCTCCTAGCCAGATCATTATCAACTCCTCTGTCTATCCAACTGTTCTTTTTCTTTGGGCTCTATCTCCACCTATCGCTTACTCCCTGCCCCCTTTCTTTTACATATAAACCCAAATTTTACTAGCTACCATCAATTCTAAGGCTCACCAGATCTGAAATGTTAACTGATTTTTCTTCAGATGCTGTCAGACTTGCTGAGCTTTTCCAGCAACTTCGGTTTTTGCTCCTGATTTACAGCATTTGCAGTTCTTTCGGTTTTTATTACAAGCAATAAACTTGACAACACAAAGTGTGACACAGTGATGGGCAAAAAAACCCACTATGTGTCTTGAGATAACAAGGTGTACAGCTGGATGACACAGCAGGCCAAGCAGCATCAGAGGAGCAGGAAAGCTGACGTTTCGGGTCTGGACCCTTCTTCAGAAATGGGGAGGGGAAGGAGATTCTGAAATATATAGGGAGAGGGGGAGGCGGATGGAAGATGGATAAAGGAGCAGATAGGTGGAGAGGAGACAGACAGGTCAAAGAGGCGGGGATGGAGCCAGTAAAGGGGAGTGTGGGTGGGGAGTGAGTGTGGGTGGGGAGTGTGGGTGGGGAGGTCAAGGAGGCGGGATGAGTCTGGTAGGTAGGAGATGGGGGTGGGGCTTCAGGTGGGAGGAACGGATAGGTGGGAGGAAGGACGGATAGGTTAGGGAGATGGAGACGAGCTGGGCCGATATTGGGATGCGGTCGGGGTTGGGGAGATTTTGAAGCTTGTGAAGTTCACATTGATACTATTGGGCTGCAGGGTTCCCAAGCGAAATATGAGGTGCTGTTCCTGCAACCTTCGGATGGCATCGTTGTGGCACTGGAGGCGGCCCAGGATGGACATGTCGTCCAAGGAGTGGGAGGGGGGGGCTGAAATGGTTCACGACTGGGAGGTGCAGTCGTTTGTTGCGAACAAAGCGTAGGTGTTCCACAAAGCTGTCTCCAAGCCTTCGCTTGGTTTCCCCCGATGTAGAGGAGACCACATCGGGAACAGCAGATACA